TCTCTCTCTCTCTCTCTCTCTCTCTCTCTCTCTCTATCTATCTATCTATAGCAAGAATCAGATGCAAGAGAGAATTTGGAGAAAAGAGATAATAATAAACAGAATGAATTAACAAATAAACTATTCATCCAAGTTTGATAATGTAAAAATTGTGCCCAACGCTTGAATTTTTACCACGAGACACGTCTAGCTGTAATTACAACAAAATTTGCACGTTTATCATCCGTGATCTTTCCTAATAGATGAGGCTCGGAAGTTTTTCTAAGAGCATCTTACATGCTTTTTGATTCCTCCCCTTCTCAATTATCAGATGAAAGAAGAATGAAAATAGTTGAATTGGGTGGAGCTAAGGAGCTCGTGAGTATGTTAGCGGCTGCTAAAGACGATCGCACTCGGGAGGCTGCTCTGAAAGCGCTTGTTGCCATCTCAAAGTCAGGTCAGAATTACGCCTTGTTTTTTCCGCATGTTCTTTTGTTTCGAAATATATGCGTGTGCATGGTTAACTCGATATTGTTTTAGTCTAGTAAATAATGAACATTGATCCATGTTCTATAGCACACATTTGATCAGTTTTCCCTTTCAGTTTTCAGAAAACCTCTCCTCCTTGTCCACCATTTTTTTATTATTTATTTAATTTATTTGCATTATCTCTTTAAATTATTCCACGACACCTTACTTTCATTCTCTACTGTTATAGACGATGCTGTTGGTGCTTTGCATGAAGCTGGAGCAATAACCGTCGTCAGGTCCACCCCAGACTCCACCGAGAACAACAAAATCGGTAAATACAAGTCGAACCTACTAACAAGATTCCACGATTTGAGATATGATATTTCCTCTTGAATCTTGATACATGTGATAAAAATTTCGAATCATCTCGCTGAATACATTGTATCCTATTGACTCATCGGGAAGTTAATTTTATAAGCAAATACACTTCTTAGTTACTAGGACACAAATACTAGCTAGTTCCAATACATTTTCTTACATGGACATGGGACCATAATATACTTCTTAGTCCACAAAAATCCATGTTCTTTTTTCCTTCGTTCGTTTCTCAATAATATCGGAAAAAAAATCAATTATTCCGAAAAGAAAGCCAGAGCCCCGACAAACGGAGCATTAATATAAGTCGCGGGCTCAGACTGCTGATAGTTATTCCTATCATCTGCAAAACCATCTCGATTATCGGGCCCGCCCACGATGGCCCCCACAAGAATGTTTGGGTTTGCCGAGCCCGAATAGAGGTATTGAAACCCGTCATTACATGAAATCCGGGCCGGGTGTGTGTGCACTGATGGCAACGACGAGCCCCTGTGGTGCACGTGCTGAGGATACCTCGACCCAAACCCCACCATGTAAGACATTTTTGCGGGATTATCTCCTAATATGTAGTCCACTTGCCTTTTCGCCTGGGCAATGAGATTTTCCGGGCCCAAGGTCGAGGTCCCGCACGAGACGGCCCCTCCTCGTAACTTTAGGTATTTCGCATATGTCAGCATTAGAAAAGTCGATGTGGTGACGAACTGTAGATTGCTTTCGCTTTCTTTGTAGAACAAACCCCCTGTTTAACATTTTTTTTTTTTTTTTGAACTAAAAAGTTTAATACAAAATTTGAAATCTTTTTTCTTTTTCTAATTTTTTACATTTTTTGGGGGATTGTTAAGTTTGTAATGTACCTGGAGTGTACTGAGCCTGGAAACTGGGTGAGCCTGGAATTAGAGAGCATATATAGTTGTCTGAATGTGATTTGTACAGCTGAAGCTGTTGAATATTATTCTCCAAGAACCCCTGCAGACGAAAAAAGTAAAAAGCTCGTCTCGTGCGAAAAAGTATTTACTCGAGCCGAGTAATGCAGAGAATAATTTTTGGTCGAACCTGTGAGAGCAACACTTTGGTCCCGGCCCGTTTATCGTCCCAGCTGAACGAGTAATCGTCATCATTTGCACCTAGCGTCTGACCGTTAGACTGAATGTACCCCAAATACGAGCCGTTGTTTGAAGCTTTGTGAAGCCACGACGCCCCCCACAAAAGTTCGTCCTGAAATCCAAAGTTCACTAGCTAGTCTCTTCAACAAGATAAGACGGTAAAGCTATAATTTGCTATTCGGCTTACATGATAACCGGAGTATGAGCAGTAATACGGGCACACGAACGAGCTAAGCGATGAGTCGCTGTACGACCCTTTATACCTATCAGCAAAATCGAACACCTGCAAAAAGGAAATGTGTTTTGTTCAAATCATACTTTTTACCAAAAGTAAAAGGAATTATTGTGTGTATTCAATATTCATTTACCTGCATTGCTGTTTGAAGTAGCCTTTTGGAGTACGAAGGGTCGGAGTTTTTGAACACGATCGAGCCGGCCGCCAATGCTGCGGCAGTCTCAGCCGCGACATCCGAGCCCGGGTTTGAAGGCCCAACTTTGTAGGCGTTACGGGCCGTGTCCATGTCCTCGGGTCTTTCCCAACATCTGTGGTCGGTGTTCGGGTCCCCGACTTGCACGTAAAGCGCGTCCCGTTCGGCCGTGGCAGCTTTGAGTAGATAGTCCGTTCCCCAACGCACGGCATCTTTCGCGGGCCCCACATGGCTCTTCATGGAGTCGCCGAACTCGATCACGCTCCACGCGAGCAGCGTGGTCGTGAACGCCATCGGCAGACCGAATTTCACGTTGTCTCCCGCATCGTAGTAGCCTCCCGAAAGATCCACCTATACATCGCCCAATATATATATAAAAAACTAGAAAAAATGATTTAACGGATACAATCACACCATGCAATAACAATACGTACTTATAATATGAAATTTTAAAATAGAGACCTGGCATGGAGCTTGAAATATAGGGAGATAAATGTGGAGTTAGCCAAATAACAACATTAATCTGATTAAAACTAGTAACATAAAAAGTAGACACTAAAAGTAGGTACATTGTTACTCGAGCCGTCGGTTAATGCAGAGTCGCCTCTCCACGTAAGGCGTTGGTTAGGCGGCAGCTTACCGGACCTCTGCCCCTCGAAGAAGAGGATCGATTTGTCGAGGGCATTTTCGTAGTCTTGCGCGGTGAATGCCGCGCAAGATAGGACGAACAAGGAAAGGGCTGTGCATGAGATGTGGATTGTGAAGCAGAGTTTTGCTGAGGCTAACATTCTTTTGGTCATATAATGTTATTGGGAGGGGTTATGAAAATTGAGTCTTTTGGTGAGGGTTTATATAGGAAAAAAAGGCAGTTTGACTGTTAGTTAACAGTTGAGAGAGAGAGAGAGAGAGAGAGAGAGAGAGAGATTGTTTGTTCACGGGATCAACTGCGTGAATCGTGAAATGTTGGACAAAAGAGAAGCCAAAAATTAAATTCGGAGTCTCTTAACGGTGGAAAGAACAAAAAAATAATAATTCGAGGCACGGGCCTTAATAAAAAACAGGGAATTGGATTGGTTACTTAATTCTGACAGTGAAAAACATTATATTCTTTCTGATTTGTTTAAGTACTGAAAGTACAGACAAAAACGGGAAAAAAAAAACATATTCTAGGGCCACAAGTAGGATTTGAGGTTGTTCTAAATTAATTGTTTAACTCCAACCCTAACATTAATGCAGAAGAATTTGTTATTTCACAATGTCATATTTTAAAAAACAATATAAATACAAGTATGACATTCGATAGTATAAGTATCTGATATAGGATACCATATCGGGTCAAAAAGACCCACTGACCAGTTTACCAGGTTGGGTAAGTCGTTTGGTCTAGCAGAACCATAGGCAGACCGATTGGAACCACAACGAAGAGACCTCATATCGATGAGGACGTCAAGTTCAAAGGAGCACCAACAGGTCGAGCTAGGGCCTTTGGATGGCCTGCCTGAAACTCGACTTGAATGTATGGCAGGTCAATGGATCGACCAGATGAGCAGAGCATGCGAGCTTAGCACACGCAGTACTCCAACTCGAGGTGATTTGAGTCGGTCGCACGATTAGACTGTCTAATAAGGTATACTAATGAATAAGAATGAATATTATCAGGATAAGAACCACATGTGGATAGGGCCATGAGGTCTAACAACATTGGGCAGTTCGGACAGTCTAGACAGCTCATTCGGGTAGTCTGGACCTTAATTTGGCTTTGATTAAAGCCTCGTTAACCATAACACCAACTTGTATATATTCTTTTAAGAATGCTGTAGAGTTATTTTATGCTTATATGAGTTCGAGTTTCTATACATAACAAACCATTATATAATAAATGAACAACGATTGTATCAATTGCTGCAAGTTATTCCGGTGCTGAGTTTTCCATGCATAACAAACCATAATATATAAGAATATATCAATTGCTGCAAGTGGAATGTCAATAATAAAAAAAGTTAATGGCATATAAAAGAAAACTCTCCAAGCACCCACTTTTTATTTATTTACCGAAAACAATCGAACAAACACAAATTCTTGTATAAGACAGCCTAACAGTTAGGCCGATCGACCCGCCCAACTGAATCCAATCTTCTCTTCTTTTTTTTTAATCAAAAGATGGTCATTTGAACAAGGAATTTTACTTATATTTTTTGGGAAAAAAAAGACCCCAAACATAAGGAACTAATTATGTAGTTCATGTAGCAATAAGGTAGGAAAATGTGGACAATTTGAAGGCGTAATTAAAGGAAATTGAAGGAGTGCTGCCAAAATTCAATGCAAATTTTCCTCTTTTTATCCTCTCAATAAAGAATAAAAAATTAAAATTAAAATTAAAAAATAAAATAAAATAAAATTCATGGATTTGAAAATTGTTTTGGCCGTTTATTAGTCACGGACGTCCCAACCATGCTTCACGTGTGAGCCAAGTCTCATTTATAGAGATCAATGGCCTTCTTTTTTCTTGAAAAAATTGATTATAATTTTTTACACGGGTGAATGATAAAAAATTATTCTTAAAATTTTAAAATTAATGAGAAAAAATTATTTTGAATTTTATTTACTTTTTTACAAAAAAAAATATATTATTATTATATATTTTAGAATGACATGTTACTTGTGCGACTTACATGTGTTAGATTATAGTAATTTTTAATACTTAAATCATATAACTTCTTCAAATAAATATATTAATTGATAAATAATTTTATATTTTAATTAATATTATTATTGTTATAAAACTAAATATAATTTATTTTTTTTATACATACAATATAGATGTTAAATCGAAGTCCATCAACAGATGATTAATTTGATATATTATATATGTAAAACTGATAAAAAATAAAAAAAAAATTATTAACTTTTAAGATACATTTACAATTCAATGGTTATAATAAAAAATGATATCAAAATGTAATTAATACATGTAACATGACCTTAAATAATCAACATATTTATAGATAATTCGGACTTAATTATTTTTTGGATTGAAAGTAAATTAAAAATCTACCCAAGTCTTATGATCCCGAAACATGCGAGTCTGTCACTTAGGCTCAACACGTTCTGAATTAATATATAAGGGAATGTTCTCGTTTCGTTTTAGGTATTTAATATTTAATTTTATGAAAGTAAATCCTAATTAAATTGAACAAAAGAAGGTAAATTTGGTAGATATATGTTGATAAATTATTAGAATTAAATTATTCTAGTAAGTAATAGTGGTAGATATATGTTAATTTAATTATAATAAATATTACTTATTAGAATTAAATTAACAAAATTGACTAAATGAATTAAACTTTTATATTGAAGAGAAAGGAGGTCAGATAAATACTATATTGTTGCTACTATTATTATTATTATTATTATTATTATTATTATTATTATTATTTAAATATAAATTATTTTGAATAATCAACGAGCAATGCTTAAATTATATTAAGTTATCTTTACAGTAATATTTTTTTTTATGATTGTTGTCGAAATATGTTTAACTACTAATTGCAAGTTGTCTCTACAAAAGTCAATTGTTATTATCCAGTAGTGCCTATAAAGACCCATTTTTTTTTATAATAAGGGGAAAAAAAATGGATTATGGTGTTTTAACTAAATTTTCAAACCAATTAAAGTAGATAAAACAATGTGAGCAAGGGTTTTGTTACAAAATTACCTAGAAATATCAGTAATTAAATTTAATTTGGCCCAAGATTATTTAATTTTATTTTAGGTTAAACAAAGAAATTGTATATGTGTGCATGATTTTATTATAACTTCGTCGACAAATTTTTGTAGTTATAACTTAAATCGTTATTAATTTTTTTTTAATATTTAGTTAAACAAAATTCATATTGAGCAATTTAACTTGAGATACTATCAATTCATAATGTTTGTATTATTTAATATGTAGAATACATCAAATTACTTGTTGAATAAATGATATATGGGTATAAGAAAAACTTAATCTCATTATTCATTAATATAACTATATTGAATGATGCCACATATAAGTCTTCAAAAATATTTATATTTATTAAACAAAGAATATAGCAAATCACTGAAACAAATACATTTACGAGTTTATGTTGAATGATGACAATCTACATATAAAACAAGGTCAGAAAGTATTAAATAATATTTTATTATATAAAAACAACAACATGCCTCATTTTTATAAATTCATTCACATTTTGTATCAGTGTATGATTCATGTAATTTATATTAAATACTTAATAAAAATATTTTCATTCTTAATTTTTTTTATATGTAGCAATAGTGGCATTGTTCAAGTCAAATTGAGTTGAATATGTTCTATATATTTGACCCCAGGCTCATTTAATAAATGAGAATATTTGACTTAACTCGCTTAATAAATTGAACTCAAGTTTCACGATCGAACTGAGTTGCGTTCGTCGAAAGAGTGCTAAAAATTGCTACGATCATGTGATATTATGTATATATGTTTGTTGATCCAACAATATAAAAACTTGTTTGGCTGCAATATAATCACCGATATAGATTGTATACATTCAAAAATTACCCCTAATACTCGTGAAGTGTTTATTTATATATTTATCGTTTGAAAAATCATGAAGTGCTTTTTTTTTTGGGTACGAGAAACTTTTTTTTTTTTTTTT